TTTAGAAGGAAATGATTAGAATGCAAGGAGAAGTGAGACAGCTATGAATGAGAAGGACAAAAATCAAACAGATGGTTGATTTGGCAAAATAGATGGATGGTGAAGAGACAGACTGATGGAGGCTGGCTGCTACTCACCGTTGCCTGAGATGGTGAGGTCATGTGTGCGAAAGCTGTCCTGGACGTTTGACAGTGACAGGGTGGTATAAGCTAAGAGGTGGTACTTAGGACCTCTGTCAACACAAAAGAGAGGGCAGAGAAATGCATTCAGTGGGTGAGTGTTTATAGTGGAAATAGTCTCTATAAATAATCTCTCATAATATATGTTATTCCCCTCCCTCTCGCTCTTCCCTTTTTATTCAATATGTCTAATATACAATATAAACTAGTTACTATTTCAAACCAAACTTACGCTACAGAGGGAACTGGCAGCAGGAGAGGAGATGCCCCTCCGTTGCTGATAGGACTACATGGCCCAGGCTCCATGGCTGCCCGGAGCTTCTTCCCAGCTGATCGGCCCAGGGAAGAACTCAGTTTACTGGCTAGTTTCCTTGGTGTGCTCCCAGCTGAGTAATCATCCTCCGAGCAGCAGCTGTACAATTCAACACGCAGCTCAAACCCTGGACTGGCTTCCTTGCTGTCAATGGATGCACACAAAATGAACATGAGAATATCATCCTGTTACTACTGTGTTCAATGAGGTGTCTGTGCATACCTGAGTTCCAACGTTACTTCACTGATAAAGTTCTGTCAATCAGGCATTGTATCCCCATGACCACAATCGCTGTTCCAACTGGGTCTCCTGTACTGTCTGCCATGGAGACTTTTACACCAATTTCCTTGTTGCAGCTCAAAAAAAAATCAGTGCAACAGCTAAAATCCACTTATTGCCCTCTGGATATTGTCCCTGCTAGGATAATGAAGGAGGTCATTGACACTATTGGGCCTTGCCTGGTCACATTTATTAACAGCTGCCTCAGGCTGGGTATTGTCCCCACTGCCCTTAAGCATGCTGTAGTCAGACCACTTCTCAAGAAGCCTAATCTCAACCCCACGCTCACTTCTAATTTTTGTCCAATCTCATATTTAACTTTTTTTTATCCAAGGTTATGGAGAAAATTGTACTCACACAGTTACAGTCTCATCTTGAACTTTATGCTGATGTCGATAAATTTCAGTCAGGCTTTAGGTCCCGGCACAGCACTGAATCCTCACTACTGAAGGTGCGCAATGATATTCTTATGGCCCTTGACGTGAAAAGTCCTGTTGTTCTAGTACTTCTAGATCTCACAGCAGCCTTTGACACCGTGGACCATGCAGTTCTCATATCCCGCCTTGAACATTGTGTCAGCTTGTGCAGTGCTGCGCTCAAATGGTTTATTTCTTTTCTGACCAATAGGACCTTTTTGGTTGTGATCAACAACTCTACCTCTACAATAGCCTCTCTGTCCTCGGGCATTCCCCAAGGCTCAATCCTGGCGTCTATAATTTCCTTGCAAAATATGCTACCGTTAGGTTCAATTATCTCTAGGCATAACGTCCGCGTTCATTTTTATGCTGATGATGTGCAGATTTACTTACTGTTGATGCAGTGATGACAATGCACTAGCCCCCTTGCACAGGTGTTTGTGTGATATTAAACAGTGGCTTGCACAGAACCTCCTTCATTTGAATGAGGGGAAAACTGAATACATCGCTTTTAGCCTGCACTCTACTCACATTGTACCCGGCCTAGGAGCTTCAGCCCCTTTATTCACTCAAACTGTGAAATACCTAGGAGTGTTTGATAGCAGCTTCAAATTTGACAAGCAGAGTAGCTCTGTTGTCAAAATAAGCTTCTTTCAACTGAGGCTCTTAGCAAAGGTGAAGCCCTTTGTATCTCAACTTGACCTAGAAAAAGCCATTCATGCTTTCAGTAGCTCATAACTAATATAATAACTAATCAGTCTCTGCTCCGTAGGCTCCAACTAGTACAGAATGCAGCTGCTTGCCTACTGTCAAATACTCCAAAGTATGCTGATACCACCCCTGTTCTACAGTCTCTTCACTGGCTTCTGGTACAGTTTAGAATTGATTTTAAGGTTCTATTGTTCATGTTCAAGGCCATTAATGGCCTTGCTCCAGCCCATTTGACTGATCTTTTAACTATTCATACCCTGGTCAGAGCGTTGCGTTCATCTGAACATTTGTCTGTGGTTGTCCCATGGGCAAGGTACAAAAAGTGGGGGGATCGTTCTTTTGCCGTATATGCCCCCAAGCTCTGGAATACCCTGCCTCCTGAGCTTCAGTCTATAACAGAGTTAATGGTTTTTAAGACTAAATTAAAAACACACTTATTCAGACTGGCTTTCGGCACTTCATTTATAGCAGCAGCGCTATACAGTTGCCTACAGGCTTTCTGATTTTATAGTCTGTAATCTTATTCTGTTCGTACTTTGACACATTTTTATTGTACCGGAGTTTTATAGTTGCTTACAGACCTTGGTTTTAAATTTGTGCAATTTTAACTTGTTTTCCTTTTTGTTAGTTTATGTGACTTAACATGTTCTGCTTTTATTTTTATATGTTTTGTTATGAAGCACTTTGAGCACCCTTGGGTGTTGTAAAGCGCTATATAAACAAACAAATAAACAAATAAATTAATATCAGTTTCAGTCACATTCTATATGCATGATTTTTAGCGTGTTACTGTTTATGTGGCAATTCAGTAAAAGGACAAAGAGATGACGTACAATACGATGGTGTTGTCAAAACAAATATCGGTGAGCGTCCGGTCCACTATCACCATGTCTGTGTCAAAGATCTCTCCCCCCAGCTGGAGCAGGCAGAACACTGCACAGCGATGAAGCTCTGCAAAGGACAAGATAGAAAGAAAGAAGGAAAGAGAAAAAAACATCCCTGAAACATTCATGAGACACCTCAGCAACTGTCATTCAACTGCATCACTAGAAAACTAATTCTCAGCTCCAATACAACATCACCTCCAGCTGTTTAAACAAGTGATGGGAGAGTGACCTCAGTAGTTAGCTCAGCTCCTCCACCTGGATGACAGACACTCAAACAGTTTCAGTTTAATTTCAGTTCAGCAATCTCAATGGGCGGATGGGTTTAGTATTCCTATAAAGCACTGTTAGCTGTTTGGTGACTGGAACTGAAGCATAATGGTCTTTAATGTTGCAGCAGCCAGTGAGAGGTGGGTAACAGCAACTCTTGACCTTACACAGAGTGAAGATGTCATGGACACACACATGATTTTGTAAAGAAGCTGTTGTACCATCACTATGTAATTTGGTAATATGTATAATTTGGTGAATCATTGTGCCAAAGCAAAATATCATTATATTCATTATAACAGTGACAAATGTATGTAATATATCACTGTTGTAATATAAAGCAGCTGACTGCTTGGTCTGTCTTTCTTCTATTGTAGCCATTTTGCCAACTTCTCATTAAAAATCAAGGTTACAACTGAAATGACCAAAAGAGGTTATGTGCTCCTACCTACGTGTTTCCTTGTCAGTGTCACGTTGATACCTAATATTTAGATTTACTATTCCAAGCATGAACTTAACACATAAAATATGATTGGACATGTGAGAGAGGAACATGCTTTGCTCCTCCCTGCCTCCTAGGCTGAGTTTATGTCCCATTGTGCTTAATGACCTTCACTAACAGCCTCAAGCTGTTAAGAGTCCATTACCTGTCTCTTGAGATCATTTATATGCAACAGGTCATGCAGATTAATAACATTCAAGTTGCCAGAGGAGAGAAGGAGCACCGAGACTGTGATGGGATGGAAAACGGCCATTCTAAAAATTAACACCAAATATATTTTCATTGCAATGCTGAATTCTGAAATGTCATAAAAGACATTTAAATTTGGCCTAGTTCCTAGTAATATTCCTCAGGACAAAAAGAAGTAAGGAAAAAGGTAGGAAGTTCAGTGCCCTACTATCCTCTGCCCTACTAACAGTGACCCAGTTAGGAGTCTGTGTGGTGCTGCTTCTCAGAGCCAGAAGGCACAGCCAACATGACTGTACAGTAGATCAGGTTGTGCTGCCAGGGGTTTCTCACATAAAAACAGTCCCTGTAAAATATAGATATATCTGGGAGGCTGCAACAGATTGTAATGATCAGCCCCAGGAACCGTGCTATGGACCCTTGTCATATTGGCTCCCATACATATTCACATTTCACCCCGAAGCCAGTGATAAAAGGTGATTCACAAAGAATCCCACACTCACCACCATGATTTCACAAAAGTTTCAACATCTTTGAATCAGCTACTTCCTAACTGCAAAGCCACATACCACCTCCCTCAGAAGCAAATCATTAATAAATCCTATGGACATTAATCATTAATAGGTCATCAATCAGTTTCCTCACACACAGAAGGGACTCCTTACCTCCTTTATTCTTGAAGTACTCCGTGTCTTTCCACATGAGAGGGATGCGAAGATCTGTAACAACAATGGACAAGGGGTTAAACCACAAGTATGTAAATTGCCATTACTGTCTACCAGATATAGTCTTTAATATTTATTTCTTTATCTTCTCAAGTAAAACAACAAGGAAAATCATTTTAACAACTCTTGTCTTGTTCCCTGGAGTGAGTCTGTGTTACAAACATGGTAGCTCCATGATCATTCATTTGACTGCCCTCTCTAATTTTGCAGTGGGTAGCATCTGCAAGTCACCACGTTCACTGTGGTCAATAAAGAGAGAACAAAACATCCACTATTAAACAGAGAGGGAGCTGGATCTCAGCAGCTCTGCACTGAATTGCAACATTAAGGGGATGGCAAAGATTCTCTCCTTTTACCTTTCTTATTGCTGGTCGATCTCTTGCTAACCAGAGTACCACATTTCAAATGTAATTTCCTTATAGAAAATGCTTCATCTAACCTTCCTCTAGTTATCTCCCTTCATTTTTATCAGTTACTTGCCTGAGATGGCCACTTTCCCTTTACACGGGAGTCTGTCGTCCATAGGCCCTGCGTCCGATGACCTTCGTGTGACCTTCTGCATGACCTGAGCTTCCTTCATCCTCTGCAGCTCTGACATGTAGGCCATGATACGAGTGCTGCACGTCTGCAGACTCTTTGCAGCCTCCAGCGCCTGCTCTCTCTGGGAACAGGCTGCCAGCAGTTTGCAAGCCCCATCACGCATCCGGATCTCATGGTCAATCTTCTTCTGGATGTCGCTGTCCTGCTGGGACAAGGGAGAGAATGTGACTGAGGTTTAAATGGCAGATAATGGCACGTTCAAAAGATTCTTGTTTTTGGCTAATGGAGAAAGGCATATTCAAATGAGAGTGAGGTAGATGACAGGCATGGCTTAGCAGTATAAAGACATTTTGGGGAGGAATGAAGGAATAGACAAAAAGAGAGCGTTAAGGCTTCAGTAGATTACAGGTCTCTTGTGACTACATTAATGAAGTTTGTCTCTGATAGCACTCTGTTCACAGCTTATGTGAAAAACAATACTCAAACACATGGCCTTTTGTGCTCTTACCAATAAGACCACAACCCAGTGAGCAGAAGCATAGATGCTGAATAATGTAGTGCAAACCTGTTCACTACACACACATGGGGAGCAGCACTTTGAATGAGAGAGCAAAGAATAAAGATGTGTACAACCCAAATGAGAAGCCCTAGAAATAATTGCACACATACACACGTTACTAGCCACTGTCGTTCTCCTCAAGCTGTTTTTCCAAAGCAAAAAAAAAAAAAAAAAAACCATCAAACTAAATTTGGCCTGTTTTATTTGAAGCAGGAAAGGCATCATGTCTAAGACTAAGGACTCTGTACACTTGTGCAAGAATTCACATGCTGTGGAAACACACACACACACACACACACTCACAAACCCAAACACGTGCAGACAATAATAGTTCCTCCACTGTTTGGGTCTGCCTCTGGTGATGCTGTCCACAGTTTAGACAAACCTCTAAGGCCCTCTTCACTCTGTCAGTAGGACAGAAATATTGCATGCATGAGTTTAAAACATCAGACACTGAGGGAAAGAACTAACATAAGAGGAACAAAACAAAGACCAAGCAAAAGCAAAGCCAGGTTGACCTTGAGTGTTAGTCCCAGTGATGAAATACTTTTAAATTATGCATTTGCACATGAATTGCTTCAACCCAGGGAACAGCTATCACTAAGGTGGTCTTTAAAGAATGAGTTAAACAAATGAGGAAAACACTGACTGTACTTTGTGTTCATAATGAATGAACAAATGCTATGCAGCACCTGCCAGACTGCTGGAGTATGTGTATGTTAATGTGCGTGCTCATCCTCTTCAATGATACATCAGCAAGCTAATGCTCTCTCCACAAATAATCTCTAATGCCCCCTTTGCCTTTTGTTTTCCACCTGCTCTGCACCTGATAAATGCTTCTTCCCCTCCTCTATTGCAATATTTCTTATTTATCTCCTCTCCCTTACTGCCTGATTGTTATGAATTTTTTATTCTTTTGATTTAAGCTTTTATACTTTCTGTGCTAGTTCTCTGACACCTCATTTCTTCCACTTCACTGTCCTCAATCGGCTTTTCTTTCTTCCCCTCCACACCCTCTTTCTTCTTTCTACCCATCTCTCTCTTAGCGCTAGTCTCTCGCTTTGGTCAACAGAGGCCCAGTGGGAGATGAATGAATGTGATTTCAACACAAAAGTTCACATTTGGACACAGATTCTTCCTTAGACAGTGCACTACAAAATGGGCTTTCATGTAATTCATGATTAATCACTGTATTTAAAAAAAAAACACTTCTTAGGATACAACCACACTAGTTCTACATATGGAAATGCATTCAAGTATTACTTGCTACAGTAACATGGGACATTAAAAACTAGCCGACCTCTCCACAGAAACACTGCAGGAGTGAAGAATTATCAGACACAGCATAATTGATTTATTAGTTTATACTGATAATGATCAGTCTAGATTCATGTATAATCGACACGAGCTGTTAAATATAATAGCTTCACAAATAAACCTGTCGTTAAATAAACACTGAAAAGCAATTACAGTACTCTTGACTGTGAAAGAAAGGAGATTAAATTAAACCAGCAGTGTAAACATAGCAGTTAACTACCCAATGTCTGGAAGGTACAAGTGGAGGATTCAATTTTATAGGTTAAGTGTGTGTTTGAAAGCAATTATGTGATTTTAATTGACATACAAGCAAGAATACATTTAATTCTTTTTATTTTGATGCACTGATTATAATTTTTTAAAGAGCCTTAAAAGCTGTCATAAGAGAAAACCACATACATATCTTTTTAATTTTTAAAAAGGTTTTAAATTGTTTTTTAAACAGTTCTTGGTTTTGCACCAGCTTACTTCTCTCACGTGTTTCTAGTGTATGAACCACCACAAACAAAGTAGAACAAATACTTCTGGTGAGGCTGCTTTTATTTTTTATGATGTGAACTGTTGGAACAGTCTGCCTGGTCAAAAAGCAGCTGAAAGTTGGTATTGATATTTTTAAATGCAAATTATAAGTCTTCTTTAACCTGGCTTTTGAGTAGAATATTTTACTTCCATTATACCCCCCCAACACAAACACAATGTCTAACCACAACCTTAATACCTAGCCCAAACCTAAGACTAACCTGAACCCCAAAACCTTTACCCTCAAAAAGCTGTTACAGAAAGTGAGGACTAGCCAAAATGTCCTCACTTTTCAAAAATTTCCTCATTCTGTAGTGAAAATACTTTTTTGGTCCTCATTATATAGAAAGTGCAAGAACACGTGTACACACAGAGAAGAGGAGCTGTCACCACAGCAAAACCGGCCAGAGTATGTGCTCTTAAGGTTAAAATGTGAATGCCTCTCACATTTTTAAAATCGGTTAAGATGATAAAAGCCTCTAGTGTAGGCTGGGCCCACACTAGCAGCTAAAAGTTAATGGGCTTCTCTTTCTGGGGATCTCAGAATAGAAGACAAGCAGCCTAGAATTTACTCTAATCCACACGTCTGACTGCATGTCAGGCTAGTACAACAACCTGAACACTCACAGTGGGGGGAAGTAAGAGACAAAGACAACAAACACCACAGGCTTAGACACATGCAACAACAAGACGGACAAACGTAGAAATGTATGAGAACTTTTTCTTTTTAGAATCTTTCACAAATGCTCAGAGGCATGCACAAAAACAACCTTGCAAACATACAAGTTGTGACACTGATTCCTTCACACAACGTCTTCAGAGTAACAGGTGTTAGACCGGTGGGCACTACCAGAGAGGCTTACTGCCTTTGGCAGTGCAGACAGCAGCCAGACACAGGGTGAAAGACGGGCAAGCAGTGACACTGTCAAAGAAAACAATGAAGGGCCTGAGGAACAGCGCAAGAAAGGAGGGGATATGGGTTGACAGAGCAAAACATCTGGGTTGAGAGAAAAAAGAGAAAGGGGAACTTTGAGTGGAAGACAAGAAAGAGAAAGCAGGGACTGCCAAGACAAGCAGAGCAGGGTGAGAGGATAAGAGGGAGTAATGGTGATAAATAAAAGCAAGTGGGGGGAAGATCAAGGTGTTGGGTTTGCAAGAGCCGACAAGACTGGTGGTTTACAAAAAAAGTAGGGGGATGGCAATAGGAAAATGAAGGAACAGAGATTAGGTAAACAGAATGACAGGAAGTGGGCTCAGTATAGGCAAATGAGGTGTTCAAGCATAAAACTGGCATGAAAATAATTGGGAGAGATAGTGTCTTTATCTGAAACTGAAAAAAAGAAAGTCCATCTCTCCAAAACCTACAAACTGAGCTAATGGATAAAGACAAGAAACTTCATAATTACTTGCTGGCAAGTCATTTTGAAAGAGTTATGACTGAGTGTAAAGCTTGGACAAGACACTGAATCCAAAATTACACTTACTGTGTGAGTGTTTGTATTTCAAAAAAAAAAGTCCATCTGGACGTAAACATCTGCCAAAAGAATGCAATTTATAATGTAATTAAAACTTTGAATTCATCCAGTAATTCTGCTGAGTTACCGACACATGTTTCAGCAAACAGCAATCACAAAACTATTTTGCCTCAAACAACAATACATTTTCATTTTACAACTTGACGCCTCAGTAGGTACCAGATGGTCACTTCCTCTGTCACCTCTCTGTCCCCGTCAGCCTGTGTGTGTTGATCCTCACTTGTGTGCTTGTGGGTGTGACCATATAGACAGTAACACGCACACCTACACAAACAGACACACAAAAGACAGGCTGGCTGGGGATTTGACACCACTGCAGATGGTGTGTAATGGTTTGTTTACACTGTGCTGTTCCACATGAGTAAAGCTTTGCTGTTCAGAACTCTGACCCTTGACTTCTGACCTCTGTCCCTGAGCAGACCAGACGGCTACAGTTACAACGTGGGGTTAGTCCACAGGGTTCGGTTTGACACGCAGTGAGTGGTAAAAACCTTAAGAAACAACTGTTTGCTTTGTACAGCAAAACCATATTAATTCAAACCACCTGTGAATGAAAGTCACGGAGGGGAGGAGAAGTAATTATCACTACACTGTGTCTAAATTACTGAGCAAAACTACTCATATGAATGCATATTTTCACATGCATGGCAAGGACAGTCAGTCCACCACTTTGGTCCCAACTTAAATTTCACAGCTATTTGATGGATTGCCATAAAATCTGCTACAGATTTTCACACTTAACAAAAGATGAGTTAGGATCTTTTGACTTTCCATCTAGTGCTATGATCTGGTCAAAATTTCAGTTTGTCCAAACCTTTGATGTACCAAAACCTTGCAAAACAAATGGAAAATGCAACAGCTGGTTTGACAGGAAGATGTTGGCAGAAAAGAGAGAAGCGAGAGCAGCAACAGTGGAGAGTAAACACAGAGCGACTGTAACACTGTCAGGCAAAAAGGAAAAGATCGTACTCCTGCTTTCACACACAAAAACAGGCAGACAAACACACAAGCTCACACACCCACAAAAAGCTGAACAATCTGTCAGTCTTTGTGGCCACAGACTTGAACACAGACACAAACGTGCTCTATTTCACACACATAACCAAGACTTGCAAATGCCTGATCGCTCCCAAACACTGGGACATTACTGACGAAACTGCTGGCTTTCAATTAGCTGGCCACAACTATGTGCCTCGCCTTCCTCTCCATCCTCTTCCCCTACCTTCCCCTTGCTCACCTTCTTCCCCTTCTACACCCACAGCCCTGTTGCAATTA